CGCCTTGACTTCGTACCCGGCCGATTTCCATGATCCCATTTCTGCCCTGATGTCATAGGTCATCTGGTCAGCATCTAGGTTGTCTCATGCGCAATGCCCGGGAACCTTAGCTCCGCGCTCGATCATTGCTTGGTCTCGTACATGCTAACTAGCTCGCGTAGTGTCCATTCTTAGTATGTTGTGACACCTCTCCCGACACTGTGGCGCCAAGATTGCATTTCCCCCGCATCGCTATCGCTCTCTTGTGGCATCTGCAATCTGCCCGCTTACAATATATCTGATTCTCATCACTTTTTCAAGTTTTCTTGTTCAAATTAAAAAAAAATTTAAAAAAATTAATGTTTTTTCCGATGAAATCGATTATGGATTTTGATAACCAAGCGCTTGGTTCGAGCCACTGTTCAACCGATGATCGAGTATAATCGATGATCGTGACATCACTAAGCGCTTGGTTCGAGCCACTGTTCAACCGATGATCGAGTATAATCGATGATCGTGACATCACTAGTTAGCGTAGATACTAAAAGCGAATTGTTAGTGTTATAGGCAGATCATCTAAGATGGTTGATGAGTTGCGTACAGTTTTGTGTGCAAAATCAGTACTATTACAGTGGTAGAAATAAGGAGAAAAACAAAGATGGTCCACAGGACAATCTAGTTTGAAATTTAGATGGTCCTCCTAAATTTGAGATGGTCCTCCTAAATTTCAAATTGTTATCTAAAAGTAATGCGGCATGCAAGCGTAAGAAAGAGATTTTACATGGTGATAAAATGGTTTAATTATTCACCTACAATGAATGTATCAAACGATACAGTAATTATTTATTCACGTTAATAGTATTGGTTAAGAAAGTTGTTTCAGTAGAATTTAGTTAAACCAATAACACCGGAATATAGTAAATTAGTATGTCTCAAATATTTCTAAGAAGCACATTCTTTTATTTAATACAGTTAACATTCCTTCAGTCAAGCAGTTAATTCAAGCGACTATAAGCCTTCTTGGCACACTCCATCATGTCCATCTTATCTAATATTTGTTCATCTTCCTCTTCAACATAATCCTCACTATCCTTGGAATATTGCACGTGGAAACTTCAAAGAAAATTACCGTAAAATGGGACCAAAATATTCAAAGGTCCATTGTACCATTGACTTTGAAAATCTGATGGTTCTCTTGATTATTTGATGGCCCCGGACCATCGGACCTTCGCTTATTTCGACCCCTGTATTACTAATTTATTAAATGCATGCAACAATGTAACCCACCGAGACGGCCATAATCTGGTATTGTGTATAAAGCTGTACTAATCCAAAATCCCAACAGTCACTTTTAGGCTGGGAGAAAATTCAAGCTAGCATGCCGTCGCAGTGGGGGATCCAAAATTGCGACACGCTCGATGGCACCACAGCCCGCGAACAGGTCATGAAGATCTTTCTGCAGAAGAGAAAATGGTGCGGTGCAGTGCAGCGCACTAAACTGGAACAAGCAGCTTCCAGCTGCAGTGCAGTGCAGTGCTGTGTGTGCATGTGTCTGTGTGCGTGCATATTCGTGTGTGCATGTGGAACTGCGTGTGTATGCACGGTCACCTATCAGCGAACTGATGCAGATATGCACAAACTGTGATATATTGACCAAAATACACCACACAAAAAAAGTAATAAAATAAATATTTAACATATAATGTGATGATTCAAGTCCTAGACTTGATTAAAACTGCATAAAATTATCACTAAATACATCCCAACAAGCCAGCAATTTTCCCGCTCTGTCGAGTCCAATCCTAATGCAAAGATGCAACGTGTGTCCTATACACAGTTATATATCAGCACTCTCCCTTGAAAAACTTGTTGTGTAGGCATGTCTAAAGCTGTTGGTTCTACTTGACGTTTGATAAAGTATTACGTAATTCTCTCCCTTACTTATTAAAATTTACTAAGTGTCTATCCTATGTTAGTATCATATAACTATTAAAGATGCCTTCACACGCACATTTTTGTGACAAACCACTGTAAAAACACAAACTAACAACTAACACACTGGCTTATCATTACTTTTATACTGCTACTGCTACTGCTAAAAGATGTGCATCCCCCATGGTTAACGAGCTAATCCTTATTTTTACTCTTCGTGTTCCCAAATCCGTAAACTGATCCACTTTTACACCACACATCTCATCCACCATGGTATACCTGAGTACTTGTCTTTGGAAAGTTGCCAACAAAAACTGTGAAATCTTTTATGCGTCGATCAGTTGAAGAAACTAGGAACTTATTCGGTGATGGAGAAAGTACAGAAGACTTGTTCATTTCATTTAATTAGTCTGAAAAACGAATGGCAAGGTAAATATTAAATATGATGTTAACTTTACCCAATACAAGAATGATTTATTGGAGATAAACCTGTCAATAAATTAGAAGGATGTCACCAAAACAGTTTCGATTACCCATTGCAGTACAGCTAATAGTAAATTAATGAACCATACGGATTATTTACAAATTTGCAGTGGATAGCGTATTCGGAAGATTACGCTATTTTACCGTACAGTACTTCTGATTGGCTAGTATATTTACGTATGTATATATATGTATGTTAGTATATTATGAATGTGTTAAAAAGGTTTCGTATTGGAAACGTGATTCACGGAAAATAGCTTCTATGATCAAACGGGGCTACAAATGTGTAGAAATAAATGGGATTTGAACCTAAAAGTTTTCTAGATAGCTAAACCTTATGGGATTCGAACGTAATATTGTTGACATCATAAATATACTAGTTAGCCAATCCAGCCCTCGACACTAAAGGTTGTCCGATTGTCCGGGACAAGTGAGAGTCTACGTCGGACAAGTTATTCTCTTGGCTAATTGCCTGATCGGACAACTAAAGAATTTCCAGTTGTGTAAAATTCCTAACATCCGTTGAGCCAGGGCGCTATCGCACGGCATTTCTCACGTTATATTTTTGAAAGTCACCGAAAAAAAGCACACTGCGACACCCGTGCTGCGTACATGCCTGCTGGCTGGGGCAGCATTGATTGAAGTACGGGGGTGGGAGTGGGGGGAATGCACCGATTGTTTCAGTCGTGTGGGGCATGCTCATTACTGAATATGTAGGGGGGTGGGCACCGCTGGTATGAGACTGAGAGTCAGAGAGAGCGACAGCAAAACTCTTTCCTGAAATTGATAAAAAAAGCTGCAATCGGCACGCAAAAATAAACGTTGTGTCAATTTCATTACGATTTTCCATGTATATACTGTAATATGATATCAGGAGTAGATAAAGGGAAGGAGTGTGACTCCAATAAACAAGGGAAATTCGTCATTTACTAGCCTTATAATACCTACGATTTACTACGCGTAA